CAGTTCAGTGGTCAAGAATAGAAATATAAATAAGTATTGTTTATCCTCGGTCGATAAAAAAATGCTAATTATTAGATTTTGAAAAACACAGCAGCATAATAGTTTAAGTATTTGTTATTGTGTGGATTTATAGCACAATTTTTTAAATGTTTCTTGTTATAAAAGTGTTTTAATGTATTTTTACTAATCCTAGCTATAATTGAATTTCTTAATAACACTTACGGACGCTGTCTGAAGAGAATAAATTAATAATAACTATTATTAAAAATTTAACATAAAAAAATCACGAAATTTTTTATCGATTTAGAAAATATCAAAATTATGTTATTGAGTACAATAGCTTTGCCACGTCTATGCAAACAAACAAGCATCAAGCACCAGTAGCGCGTTAGCACTGATATTGACGGTTGTGTTTTATATTGCGAAATTAATATTCCGCCGTGTGTGACTTGTGTGCGATGTCTTACTCAAACTTGGCATATTTTAATATGTTGATGTGTCTCGGGAAATGTTACTGCAATTATGCGGCAGCGCGAAGACTTTACGGGGAGTGCTTTGCTACTCCACGAAATATACAATTGCCGTCGGCGATGACGTTCCAACGACTTCACATTCGTATGTACAATACTGTCAGTGTGCATGGCCGTTATCAACAACGTACAGATTCAGGAAGACTGAGGATGTACGACGACGACATCGAGGAGCACATTCTCGACACGTTTGAGGAAGATGCGACGCGGAGCACGCGCTCGGTGGCACGTGAACTAGGTGTGAACTTAATATGCGCGTTTGGAGAGCCCTCAAAGATGATGGCCAGCACCCGTATCATTATCGTCGAGTTCAGTGTCTTCCTCCCAACGACTACGAGCCGAGAATGGATTACTGTAGATGGTTACTTGATAAGGTTGAAGGAGATCCTGAGTTTTTGAGCCGCGTACTTTTTACGGATGAATGCTCTTTTGTAAGAACAGGTATATTTAACGCTCATAATGAACACGTATGGTCAACGACAAATCCGCATTCGTATAAACCAAGCCACTTTCAACACCGATGGAAAATCAATGTGTGGGCGGGAATTATAGGTGACAAAATTATTGGTCCGTATTTCCTTGACCACACAATGAGCTAATTTGCGAGAAGAACTAAGCAATGAACTTGACGAAATAAATTTAGACCTCGTTCATCGTATGTGGTTTCAACACGATGGTGCTCCACCGCATTTCTCCCGTTGTGTAAGAAGTTTTTTGGATACTGAATTCGGTGAAAGATGGATTGGCCGCGGTGGATCGGTCAACTGGCCGGCACGATCACCTGATCTCACACCTTTAGATTTTTATCTCTGAGGTACGATTAAGCAGACTGTATTCCAAAAAACGTGCGATACCAAGGCAGAAATGCGTATGTGTATAGTCGCAGCCTTTGAAAAAATAAAGTCCGAAATGTCTGTTGCAACGCGTGCGTTCAGACATTATAAGTCGGTGTCACAAATGTATAGAGGTACAAGGTGGACATATTGAACAACATCTTCGTGGTCATCAAGTAGACATAGTGATAAATTAGTGTTTGACTATAACAGCTGTTATGTGACGAGATCACGACCTCAGTGTGCAGTTAGTGTATGTAAGACGCGCCTTGGGTGGCAAATGGTCAAGTTCTGGGATTGTCTGCTGCCAGTAAGATCCTAGTCAATACTAAAGGCAGAGACCCAGAGCTTGTGTAATTTATAATAAAACCAATTAACTTTTAGCTGTTCCAGAGTACTGCAACGATGACCTAATCACAGCTTTCAAAAATCTCAATAGTTACACAGGGGTCAGAGTAATTATTTGCTCAGCCTATATTCCTGGAGATAACACAGATCCTTCCATCGAGTTAGAGCGAGTGACGAAGTTCGCCCGAAAACACAACGCCAACCTTGTGGTTTGATGTGATGCTGATGCTCACCACACAGCCTGGAGAAGCACTAACATCAACGAAAGAGATGACTTGTTATTACTTGTTTCTCATATCCAATCACCTGGTAAGTCCAAACTTAAGTTGTCGCTCACCTCAAGGGAATGGGGTCCCACGTTGTGCGGCTTTCGGCCGCAGCCTTGAGAGTCTCCTCAGAATCCTCCCGCCAGCTACCACCCGCATGAGGTCGACACATATGCTCCACCAACCAATACAACTGCAGATATAGCCAAAAGGCAGTTATAAGATAAGAGTAATAATTCGCCATCAGAAAGGGTTTGTGTCACTGACGTTGAGTAAATGCATTTTCGATCATGTTTGTCTCACCCACCAACAAGTTGCCTTCAATCATTCTAAGGTGGGAAAGTTACAGAGATATATTATTATGTTGTTATATAAAACGTCATGGAGGTCAGACAGTCTGCAGCCCCGTAATGAAGGGACCCGACTTGGGCAAAGCTACTTAGGTGTGAGTCAAACCAAGACGCTGAGAGCGCCATTGAGAATAGCGTCCCACCAAACAACCATCACAGAGACGCAATGCTGCAGAACGCAACAAGCATCAATACGACTATCGTCGGGCTTACACCATTCCAAGGTCCCCCATACATCCCAGCAGACATCACCCCCCGCATACCTCCATCGACCAGAACCACAAGAGTGCGTCGAATCAGGCGCAGCACACCCGCAGATCCACCACAAGACGCAATACCGCAAGCAGCAGTAAACATCAATGCAACTATCATACGGATGGCGCCCCCTCACTATACACCCCCATGATCCCTATCGACTTTGGTAAAAAAGTTTGTATTGTTGTTAACTAAAAAATATCACCAACGTATCATAGTAGCGCGCTACTAAGACGCCAATGAACAAAACTACACGTATCATAGCGCTAATGCACTAAGACATGAAGTTGAGTATGCCTGTTCACTTAAAATGCTACCAAACACATCTCATCCCAATCCAAAAGACGCCTATGCGCTACTACGCCGCCTACAAACGGTATGGGTGTGCGATGTCCACGGGAAAGCCGTATTGCTACAACAAACCCGCTTACCACCGGCACTAAGATTGTTGTTATATAAAACTGCACCAACCTATCATAGTAGTACGCTACTAAGACGCCAGTGGACATAACTCCACGTATCATAGCGCTAGCACTAAGACATGAAGTTCAGTATGCTGGTTACACTTAAAAGTGCTACCAAACACACTCATCCCAATCCGAAAGATAGACGACGCATCGCTATGCGCTACGACGTCGCCCACAACAGTATGAGTGTGCGATGTCCACGGGAAAGCCGTATTGCTACAACAAACCCGCTTACCACCAGCACTACGATGATATGTCTAGGACACATCGGTTAGCGAGTCCGAGTTTACCTCGGACCAATTGCTCGTGAAGCAGCATACACGCCACCATAATATTCCTTTTCAAGTCCCTAATAAGGACTAGTCATTTTGCTACAGTACTAGGAGCAGTCGGTCACCCAACCACCCCATACAATGCTTATGCATCAAGGAGACCTTCTATAATAATACTTTTGTATCATAGACCTTACTTTCATAAGTCATTCATATATAGGGCTCGAACCCACGACCCTACTATTGTACTGCAAAATCATCATAGAGACCTTCTATAGTATTGCTTTTGTATCATAGACCTTACTTTCATAAGTCATTAATATATAGGACTTCAACCCACGACCCCACTATTGTAATGCAAATTCATCATGGAGACCTTCTATAGTATTGCTTTTGTATCATTGAGTTTAATATCATAAGTCCCTAATATAGGACTAGTCATTGTGCTACAGTACTTCAAGCAGTCGGGCTCCTGACCACCCCATATATATGTACAACTGCAGGCATGTATCTCCGGCAGCTCCTCCATACAAGACATCTATACATGAACACCTTCCATAACTTAGACAATTTTTAACAAATTTTCTAATTATCTTATAAACGTTATTTATCTTTATTTTTATAATCTTTTCAACTTGTATTTCTATTTTTTATCATGTTTTAAATATTTTTACAAGTTTTTATAATAAATTTATTTATTATGGAAGACAATATTTTTGCCTTTAATTTACTATGTTATTGGTCTAATGTCTGAAAAGTATTTATATTAACTTTATGCTTATTAATGTAATTTTATTGCTCAATATATATATATATATATATATATATATATATATATATATATATATATATATATATATATATATTATATTATATATATTATATATATATTAAGACTATTTTTGATGCCCCTTTATATTGAATTTAATTATTAATAATAATATTGGGCCGTCACAATAGGCACGTAGCTTACGTAAGGAAGGTAATAAAAAAATCGACTAGGTCGTTTCAATGTTCCAAGTAGTTATCCGACGTGCAAAAAATGACCTCTACACTCTATAGGCACGACGATTTTTCACCAAGATTTTTATCTAATCGGAACAACGGTCACTGTTATTTAATAAGTGTTGAAATTAAAAATGTTGTACAACCGACTTCAATATAAATAAAATAAGAACATCATCAATGTATTCGAAATTAATTAAATATCTATTATTAAGGATAACTCAAAAACTAATGATCAGATCTTGATCATATTTATACGAGACCACACGAGAAGCAACAGCTTTCAAATAAAAACAATAATCATCAAAATCGGTTCATCTAGAAAAAAGTTCTGAAGTAACGCAAAAAAAAACACACAGCTGATTTGAGGGGTCGTTTAAAAAATGACATTTTCCCCAAGTCTGGTCGCCTCTTACGACACCCACGGGATAATATGAATATTCATACACTGCCACTAAACAGTAATTGATAAATTCTCAAAACATTTTTTATCGTGTCAATATCGTCTGGAAATCGTCATTCCTCTAGAGCTCACTTGACCTACACACAAATAATTCGATATTTTAATTGTTGATATATTTTTATTTTTTGGTAAGAACATAGTAAAATTAATTAGCAAAGTGTCTCTAAGTTATAGGATTTACCTTTATTTGAAAAAAATGTCGTTGATATGATCATGGGTCTAATTGGTCCAATACAATGTCGGTTTCGAGGCCTGAGATATTAAAATACGGCAAACATTGATTTATATATTACGCTAGATAAGTAATTACCGCGCCAAAGCGTTGCCACTACACATATGGCCACAGCCATATGCCTAGCTAACGTCAATTAAGTGTTTAATGAGACGCCGACAGAGTTGACCGGACGATCCGCGACAAAAAATGGGTAAATGCGTAGTGAAAGAATGCGATTCAAGGTTACAAAATCATAATAAATCAAGCGGGATCACTTTCCACACATAAGTTAGTACATGTTTTCATATAAACGTAAAAACCTTAAATAATTAACTAAAATTATCGAATATTGCGATTCAGGTTAAATGTTGCCACTTTTCCGCCTTTGTGATTATCCCACATTAACGGGAGACCATATAATTAATGGAGTAAGTTATTTTTGTTACGTCTGATTTTAAATATTTTGGAAATTATAATAACACTACGTTTTAACTTTCGTACAAAATAATTAATTATTCTTATTTAAGTTTATTCATGAATGATATATTAAATATATTTTATTACCTATTTTATATTAATAATTTTTTATTGATTATAATTTTAATTTTATATTAATTATATTTTATTACCTATTTTATAGTTTGATTTATTAGTACAATAAAAATACTTATAAAAATATGTTTTATTTCATCAGTTATGCTAACTTCTATTCATCTAATAAAAATATACTTTTTTTAAATAAAAACAACTAACTGCAGCTTAAAACAACTCTTTTTTATTGCGTATTTCGGGTTAAATTTCATATAGTAAGCCACACCAACCCGCCATGGCATATTTGGTGTGTCTATCTTTATCTTATCTTAGCGACGGTATTGTTTTCGCAACTTGTGTAAGTGAGACAGATATATGTTTATTTAAAATGTTTAATAATTTCAAAGCAACGTCGTCGCGGTTGGATAGTGGTTACACTTTTTTCGACGCGCGGTACTGTGGTTTGCTCCTCTAGTTTTGTATAACTCAATGACGGCAAACCAGACTGTACTGTGACATACGGCAGCCAGATTTTTACTAAGAATTTTTACGATAACAACACTGATTAGCGATGGTTCAACTCGAGTTACTAACTCGAGTCAACTCGAGTTGCGCCCAACTCGAGTAAACTTGAGTTGGATCTCCCTAACTCGAGTTTGGGCTGGCTAACACGAACGAACTAAGCGAGCTAGTGAAAGGATTCATTCGTTGTGTGCGCGCCTTGTGTTCCTGAAATAGTGGATCGACATAATGACGCTGACAATTATACGAAATTTGCCGATAGTCAACAACACAACAATCGGCAAAATCGGTTCCTTCAGAGCGCTGTTTCAAAAGCCGGAGATTTTTGCAACGATAGAAGAAACTATCTAGCACCTAAAAAAGTTGACCAAATTTCATATTCAATTAGCATTATCAAATTACCAATAGTATTATTAAATTGGCATTCAATAATCGTTTGTTTTCTTTATTGTACATGTACCGATAACACTTTTTATTTATCTTTATTTTATTTATTCAACATAATTTTTATTGACTTTCGAGAAGATAGTTTTAGTTTTTTTTTAGAATATTATTGTTTTGCCCAATATACTAATTTATTTATATGTTAACTTAGAAGAAGTTATGATTTGTTATTTGAGAATATTGATGTTGAAAATACTTATAAGTGTGTTAACTTACAAGAAATTATATTTCATTATTGAGTATTATTTTTCTTTTATTTATTCAGAAAATACTCGATGGAAATACTCTTTAACTAAGTGGTTCTATAATATCTAGTTAATTAGGTAAATAATATTCTAATTTAAGTAGTATTACGTTTATTATTATTATTGTGGGGTATCTATATAGTTTTCTCATCTGGTTGGGTTCTATAAACATATAATTATAAATGAAAATGAAAAGATAAATATACATAAATATCAATAACATAAAATAAATATAAAAGTACATAAATAAATAAAAGCCCAACCAGATGGAGGCCCTCGGCAGGGGAGACCAAACGGCCGAGGGTTAGGGGGAAAGGGAAAGAAACCGGCGGACGATGCGGGCGGTATCGAGGAGCACCGCCTTCTGCATTTGAACCTGGAGCGGTCCGCCACGTAGTCCCAGCCGCCTCAGATGACCCGAGACGCTGACTGGGATTAGCACGTTTGCAGAGACGACTACAGGAATAATTTCGGTCGGCAGACCACCCCACATGTCGGTCACCTCGTGAGCCAGGTCCAGATATTTTGTTTGCTTGTCTGTTTCGGCTTTCACGAGGTTCTCGTCATACGGAATGGTGATGTCGACCAAAAATATCCTTGACTGTGCCCGGTCCATCAGCACAATATCAGGCTTATTCGCAAGAATAGTCCTGTCTGTGATGATGGCCCGGTCCCAGTAGAGCCTGGCGTGGTCATTTTCGAGCACGGCTTCCGGCAAGTACTTGTAATACGGCACTTTCCGGCCCACGAGACCGTATTTCAGAGCGAGCTCCTGGTGTAGAATTCTGGCTACTAGGTTGTGCCTGTGCAAGTACTCAGAGTTAGAAAGCGCCGAACAACCGGAGATGACATGCCTAAGTGACTCACCGGGATGGCGACAAGCTCGACAGACGTCGACGGTGCCATCCTTTAGGATGTATCTCCGATAGTTGTTGGTCTTAATAACCTGATCCTGTATTGCACAGACAAAACCCTCGGTTTCCCCGAAGAGATCACCAAAGCGTAGCCAGTGGAGGGAGGCTACTGTGTCTACGAAAGGCTCATGTAGAGCCTTGTAGAACCTCCCGTGGAGCTTCCTCTCCTTCCATACGGTCTCCCGGTCGGAAATGCTCTGCACTGCCGGGTCTTGCCATTGCTCGTTGGCTAAGGATAGAGGGGTAAGTCCTTTATCACAAGAAATGACGTCCTTATAGAATGGATCATCCGATCTCGCCAGGAAGTAATCACGGAGGCTGCACACTTCGCGATTATGCATGGTGAGCGCGCTCAAGAAGCCACGACCACCATGCTTCCGCGACAAGTACAGCCTCATTACCGACGATCTCGGATGATGCATCCTATGGGACGTCATGGTAGTGGGGACTTTTCTATCCAGGGCGTTAAGTTCAGTCTGAGTCCACCTGAGTATGCCAAAGGTATACATGAGGACAGGCATGACCCAGCCGTTATATGCGTGTGCCTTATTCACACCGGACAAAAGGCTGTTAAGCACTTTGGTCAAGCGTGCATAAAACACGTCGCAAACTGACTGTTTCATACCAGTCTCATCGATACCGATGTTTTGTGACAAAATGGATGCTAGTGTCTTGTATATGGTCGGTAGACACGTGATGGGGCGGTATTTGCTCGGGTTTGTGGTACCCTGGTCTTTAGGAACCAAATGAGTGATCCCAGTAGTGAAGAGGCTTGGGAGCGACTTCTGGTTGAGAGCCTCTTGAAACTGTCGGGCAAGCACAGAGTGACACACCATGAACCCCTTCAGCCAGTAGTGATGCAGCCCGTCAAGCCTCGGACTTTTCCAGTTCGGGGCCCTACGGACCGCCTCAGCTACGTCATCCGGCGTTATGATGACGGGGTCCATGGGCGTAATACCCGCACACTGACTCGCCACAACTTCCGTCCAAGGGCCCTCGCTGTGGTTTACGGGCTCTGACCACAGGCCGCACCAGAATGCTACAGTGTCGGCCTGATTCGGTGCTGGACCCGTTCCACTTACCATTGGTCGCTCCAATGATTCATAGAGCCTCTTCTGATCACTCTGGAAGAGACGATTCTGGTTGAACCGTGTCGACCTCTCGGTATATCGCCGAATCCGCTTTCCCCAAGCAGCGATTCTCTGCTTCAGATCATCTATGCGCTCCGTCAGTTTTTGCGTTATATCCGGCTGGGACAAACTGACATTTGTCCCAGCAAACGCCATCCTGACGGTGCGCACAATTCTTGGCCTGTTGTTGCCTGATCTGAAGCATATCAGTCTGCCGATGAGAGCTCTAGCCTTTGCGATACGTTCCTCAATTCTTCTTCTCCATGCTGGGATAGCGCTACTATGGCCAGTAGCGCGTCCAGCCGTGGAAACCTTGGCGCCTATGATACGGCAGACTGCCAGCGCGGCGGGTATTATTATTATTGTTATTATTATTATTTATTACTATTTAATATTATTAATTAAATAAATGTTCCTATTGCAAAGAATTGATCGAAGACAATAAATTAAGAAAGTCAACAAACAGCTACAATCAAAATAGTTTGTTAGGTATTCAGAATTTCATAATAATAATATGTAGCTAAGTGATTTAAGAATATTATATATAAAAAAAAATGTGTCGGAGGAAGTAGTCTGAATCAAGTCGATTGCTGGTTTTCATCGCGTGATATCGATTGTTCTCTAAAAAATAATGCTCTGTTAAATAATAATTTTATTTTATTTGATTTATTAGATTTTGTTATTGTGTAGAATCTTATTTAATCTCTTTAAAGTTACTGTATTGTACTTCATACATGTTACGACCAATCAGAGCATAGGGTAAGCCTCGAGTGGGGTCGTGGCGCCATTTTGACGGTTACCGCACGATTCCTTTTTTAGTGTTTGTGGATCGTGGTGACGATTGATTCCTTTTTTAGTGTTCGTACGGTGAAGTCGTGAGATCGGTGTCGCGAACCTGCTGCTCGTACTTTGTTTATAACGTTTTTAATTCATAATAAGTGACTGCAAAGTAGTAATTCCTTTAGTGACTTTCAAAATTGTTAAACTTTAATTAAATTGTACAAATACAGTGAATACTTTGTTTTGTGCTCGCATTGAACCCTACTGACGCCCACTAGACCCGTGGTCACCGATGACCATTTCGAGGAGAGTTGTGTTTCTCCGACATATATATATTTAAGAATATTTTGACCGTGATAATTAATTTTTGTTTATGTACCTACGTCTTAAAGCTAGACTGATATTTTTTAGTGAAGACTGATATATAGCTAGTTTTGTTGTTAAATATAGGTATTTAGGATAACTAAAGTTAAAACCAAAAATGCATAAGTATGTGAGACATGTTAAATATGCCTTTTTATTTCAATCCTACCTACTAAGTTTAGTAATAAAAATAATGTAATTTTAGTTATCCCAACCCACAAAAGAGCTATACTTAAAAATGAATTAAAAAAAGTAATTTGTAGTAAATTATTTACTATGTTCCGTCCTGTTAACTCGAGTTGCGTGGATTTTAGCTCGAGTTAACTCGAGTCGTAATTTTTCCGAATTGCCAACCTTTTTTCTAGGTCTATGGTTACGTTAGTACTCTTATTAGTTTGTGGTCCATGGTTATCACGTAGACAGAGAAACCTATAGACAAATTGATGCCTTCTTTCGCATTCGCACACGAAAAAGATAGATTTATGCATACGTCTTACATAGAAATGAGATAGAGCGGTGTGATTGTTTGTCCCTTTCTGCGTGCCGGTTTTTCATTTAGCAAACTACACTTTGCTAAACAACTTTGATAGTTCTTAGCGATCTAAGGAGTTTACAAGTTGGTTTAAGTGAGAATGAATTGTTTTTTTAGCTTAAGATTGGTGAATCTTGTTCAGTTCAGTTCTTAGAACAATTAAAATTTTTATCTAAATATGTTTAAAAGTCATAAAGATTATTGTATAACCTATAACTACGTTATCGTCCTTTCTCACTCGAGGCCACGCTAATCATTAGTCTATAGGTTTCTCTGTCTACGGGTTATCTCATCTAGACAATGAATCATGCATAGATTTAGTATATGGAGTTTATACTATATGGATCCATCCATCAAGTAGGCATGTCGATTCATTCGAGCATACTAGACTCTATTCTCTAGACTCTAAATCGAGCATTAACAGTTCGATTAATCGTGACATTTTAATGTCTAATATAAGACACAGATCTTTATAGATGATAATTAACATAAAATTATGCCCGTATTTCTCCGAAGGGGGTCATCAGAAGTGCTGTGTAGTGCTATCACTTGTCACCAGTTAAGTTATAAGTCCCATGTAATCATGTAATAGGGGTGAGCCTATTTTTATACATCTGGCACAAATCCAGACTCCGTGCTATCACTGGGAATTTCAAAAGTTTAAACTGCAACGTACATTTCCCAATAAATCGATTACAATGTAATCATTCACTATTTAACAATTGAAATGAATGCTTCACGAACACAATACTGTTTATTACGTTACTATAAACTTCAACATATAAGATTTACACACAGTATATGTTTGATAAATAAAGTGAATTCACAGCACAGATTAGGTTAGGCGCTGGGATCCACGGGTTAGATTAGAAATGACAATGACTTGCTATATACTTATTTCTCTACTTACAGTGACAACTTTTTTCATTAGAAGTAAGTATTTCTTTTGATGCGTTCATAAATATTTTTATGTCTTCAAATTAACAACCACGTACGACCGGTTGTTTCGCGTCCGACAACACCAAAAAATAAAAAAACTAAGATATCGCAGCCAGTTTAGGAACTTTATCGCTAGTTATGGAATCAGTCCGATTCGAGAGGTTTTTAGATCGATGTATCCCTATCGATCTAGAAAATCGATTATTATATATCGAATAATTGATTCCAGACAGGAATGATCGATGTTGCAGAAACATCGATAGTGACATCGATGTTGGTATCGATAGCTTAACATCGATGTTTCGATGTTTATCCTACTCAAAACATCGATGCTGGCCGTTATCGATGTTATTGCACATGTACTTACTTAATAGGTTAAAATTAGATGAATGAAAAATTTGTAGTTTTGTTTATGAATTATTATTAATTAAAAAAATAGTGTCAAACAGTAATTTAAAAAATGGGAAACAGTTAACAATTATCTAGTTCATTTGTTATATTTTGTGCCGATTATGATGAATGTTATTATTTTGATTTTTAAATGTTTCCTATACACTCACAAAACCGGTATGAAAAATATTACTATGAGACCTAATTTACGATTTAAACGTAGGTTTTACATAAACGACTCCTGTCGCGAAATAAAAAATATGATTATAGCGAAAAAATGAACAAACAAAAACAAAATAATAGACTTTGCTGTCACCTTTGTTCACAATTTTTAATCAGGCAGCCCTAGCAGTAAGTATCCACAGCCGTTTATAAAATGCACAGTCGAATGTACTATGCAGTGAAATCTTCTATGCTCACGATCGGCCAGTGATTTATTTTCATAAACTTCAAGCAAGCAATAAACTCGTTACCCCAAGCTCAGAAAGCTAAAGAAGCAGCATATAACACCTAAATATAATTGATTGTATAGGTACATATTGTTTCAAAATTATGTGAGTATAGACAGCAAGGGAGAAAAAATTAATTTGAACATCAATTTATGTAGAATATTTATTAAGCGACAACTACGCCACAGAATAACAAAGCGAAATCAGTGACAACTGTGACATTACAGTTCACACTTGACAGTGGGTGTTACACATCATAATGATATTTTTTTTTGGTGATCGATGCGTTTAGGAATCCTGAATTATTTAAAATTTTAAATAATAATAATCCTTTATTGCAGACACAAAGATCCATATTTACAAGAAAATATAATATAGCATATATATATATATATATATATATATATATATATATATATATATATATATATATATAGCATAGCATAGCAAGAATAGACATGTTGCAATGTTTCCAAAAGTCTATCGTCACCCAGCAACTTCCACCCAGCATCTGTACATTGCAGTCTGTATCTGCCTATATGATAAACTACGCACAATAGAGTTGTTACACACGTCAACTCTGGACATAAATGATGCTATCCTCTTTCGAGCTGTTTATTGCTTATTATCTGTTTATGAGTACATCTACTTGTACTCATAAACAGCTAACTTCGCAGTCACTACTCACCGACGTCAGCGCCGCTATAGATTCTACAATTTTCAAGGACAGGCGGGCTTTGCTTTAGTACATAGTGATCGTTCCCCTGTTCTCTAACCTTCATGGCTACGATCATCGATTAAGTCAAGTGACTAGGAGTGGGTAATATCGTAGTTTATGAATATCATATCGAAACTATATAGTGATATTTGATATCGGATTTCAAAACACTATATTTTCTGAAACTATATATTGACGATATTATGTCGTATATGCAGTTATCGCGATACCGGTTTCGCGACGATTTTTGACAAAGTGAATACTGACTTGATACTCGGCTACGTACGTAGAGTATATAGTGTATACCTATCTGCTAATTAATACCTATACTGTAACTACACACATATTTACATTACAGATTTATAAATACACCGTTATAAATGAGTCACAAATTATTTTTTTAGTCGCCAAATTAATATAAACGAGAAATTTATAAGCTTAAAATGTATTTGCTGCGCTATAGTACAAAATAGATATACCCAAAATCAAAATTGTTTTATACCGAAATAACACAAGTAAACTGTAAAACAAAATCAAACTATATATTTTCAAAACTAAGGAGGAACAACAAATAAATGCGCTCACTCGATTTTTTTACATACGTAAAACTAAAAATAGAATTCTTCAAAAATACTTTAAAATATTGGTCATAATTTCTTTGCTCCTTAGTTCAAGGCCAAATTTTAACAAGTTTTGCAACATACAAATGCATTGAAATCGTTACTACCCTTAGATTAAGGTCAAAAGTTGAAACTTTATAAAACAATCGCGCCAAAATACTAAGAGAAACCTTCAAACAGAATTTGTATAATATTAGAGTGAGGGTTTAGAATCGTCTGTATTGTGTAGCCATTTCAGTTTCATCAATCGCGCAATCCCTCTCACAGAATACATGTACCCCAAATACTTTATTGCGGTTTAATACGTGCAGCTCTCGACAGTTTCCATACATTGGAATGGCAAGTGTCTAAATAGCGCCATCTAATGGCATGAGTTGATGAAAACGTTATGAACTATGCAAAACTCGTTGTTTGTACGTATTTTTTCAACACAATTTGAAAATTTTGCACAATTTTACACTGTACTAGAAACAAAACGTAGATAATATTGATGACATAGAATACTATATTATTGTATTCTATTGTTTCTGAAGTTTTCTTGGGGGTTTTAAAATAAAACTAAATAAATTAGGAATACGAAATTTTCTTTAATTTTTAAGTTTGTAGACTTCAATTTACTTGTGCGCGATTCATTAAACTAATTTACATATTTTTTTAGCAGAACGTTGAAATACTTGTCTAAAAACAATCTTATACATTAATCACATATAGAAATACTAGCTTGCCAGGCAGACGTTGTTCCGCCATTTTCGACGATCCTTTGTCATGTCTTATTAAAAATCCTTAAATCCGCAAAAAAAAAATTGTGGGAAAAAACTATCCTATCTCTCAAGTTGGACCAAACTGCGCACGGTGCGCAAATTTGATTAAAATTGGTTAAGTAGTTTAGGAGTACATTGCGGACAAACAACGTGACACGTAATTTATATATATTAAGATATATATTAATATATGTTTGTGCATAACATTTGAAATTAATCTACCTTTAACATTGTTTACAGAAATTTTTAAATAATTGTCTATATTTACTTTGAACATTTTGTTGATAATATCTGAAACTCTCTTGGCATTCTAGGCTACATGCAATTTTTTTACATTTATCATGTGGCAGTGAACTACATATATCTAACCTAAAACATAGTATTCTGAATTCTTTTCAGAAATACTTACAGGATAATGTGCTTGGTTAAAATTTTGTTTTTGAGACAGTATCACTTATGTTTTTATGCTCGATTTACTTTCTTTGAAAAAGAAATTCTCTATTTTTACACACAGCTAGAGCTTAAACTTTTATATTTTTTCTTATATTTTGATAGTAAACCAGAGGTATTGTTTATTCTTTTCTTATAATTATCTATAACAAGATGTAAATTTCGCATATCTGCCTGCAAATTTGCAACATTAGGTATTGTTGTGTGTATGTTTTCATGTTGCCCTTTGGTCTCCATTATCGGATCTACCGAGTTAAATTTGATTTGTTTAGAACTGCAACAAAAAAGGCACACATACTATGTAGATTCTTACTAAATCCTTACAAACATAATAATGGAAATGTTAAAATTTAGGTATGTAACCTTATTGAACAGTCTAAATTTATTTCACGTAGACATCTTCTCTTCATTGTATTTTTCTTATTATACAACTTCAAGGTACCGAACCTGGCATTAAATACTTTTTACTGGTACACCTGCACATATTAGTATGGAAAAAACACATTCATTACATAAATATTATACCATCTAGATATTGACAACTTATCACTGGATATATAAATCTTTATTTCGAAAACATTCTACATCAAAATGAAGGGCTGGATTCAGACCCTCAATAATATTGTACATGGAAATTAAAATTATACTATTTAAAAAAAAATATATCACGTTTGACGTTTCATGTTTCTTTTTTTCCCATGTGATGGGATTTTGGCGTCACGCGTCTAATTTATCTATACGTTTCGTTTTTGACGGTTTTATTTTTATTTCTGTTTAATTTTTGTCAAAAGAACTTAGTGTAAGTTAAATTTTGAATATTGGTACAATACAATTAGGGTAAAACGAAAAGAGTACAAAAGGATCCATATCTACTTAATTGAATCTGAAAATCTGATTCATAAAATATTTTGAAATTCTGTTTTCAAACTGATTGCTTCATACTTCATAGAGTTTTTATCTTGGTACCCCCTCATTAAAGTTGTATCAAGGATGCAACATAAATGCATTGATCGAACATCGATTGACCAGAAAGGGAGCTAATTCTAATTTTATTAAAAAAACGCGGTGCTCATGTACAATACAAAAGTTTTCAATATCGTAGGGTTAATATTAAAATTTAAAAGGACCCAATAATAATACAAGTCGACCTTTAGGTAAAATTATGGTATCTTCGCTTTGTATTATTACGATACTATATACCACAAACTATGAAATAATGATACAATTGGGATAATTATACTACGAAATCCGACCCTGTTTTCCGAAACTGTCGTGTTTTGATTTTGATATGACGTTTGTATTATGACAGATGCGCTACTTTTTCTTGTATGAAAAAGTTATGAGTAAAATATTTAGAAGGGCCTATCCTTCCTTATGAAATCATTGGCAATATAGTGTTTCGTCCGAAATATAGTTCTTGGTTAGGCCGATATCGGATAAACGATATTGAAGCAATATATAGATTCAATAACTATATACGTTTTGTATCGGCCACTCCTACAAGTGACAAGGAAGTCAGTGTTGCCAGATCTAGAGGTTTTTCCTCAATCTAGGGATTTTTGGAGAACGTTGAGGTTTTTTAGAGGTTTTAATATCACGAAATTAATCTAGAGGTTTTTCTGAAGGTTATTCACTAGTCTTACCAACTTCCGAATTCTTTTTCAAAACAGACAATGCCAACAATTCATTGTCGATATAAAATTTCGATATGGTAGTATCGCAATTAATTTGTTCGTCTTATACTCATAACTTTTTCTATATTGATGTATTTAACCTACATGTGTGCATAAAATGTAATAGTGTTGGAGATTTAGATTTGTGTGTGCCTTAGTGACACAAAATTTTATTTAGTAGGTGTGCAGTACTGTCTATGTAGTGTTTCTTCCCCCGCACCAAAAGTGACAAGTTTTGTTCGTAGTATTAGACGCATTACTCGTCCATTGAGTTGAATGGTCTAATTACGTAGCTTGTATGTAGTAGAAAATTTTTATTTTTGATAAATCTGATTCACACGAAATTTGACCGAATAAAAATTAAGAGGTTTTTTATCCCCCTCATAGGGAAACTAGGGGTTTTTTGGAAAAATCTAGGGGGGAAGGTAAAAAAATCTGGCAACATTGAAGGAAGTCAACACTCAACGTCAAAATTGTCATGATATCGTTTGGTCATATTCGCCGCATTTAAATACGATATTTTTTAATACAAAAATATTATTTCAATCTTTTAACTTTCTGTCGTTAAATATTACTTTTCCTATTTAAATACAATTTTTTTGCATAATTGAGAAATGTGAGTTATGCGTGCTCTACTTCGACCTCTTTCTATATTTAGGAAGGCCTTACAATCTAACCGCTGTGTTCAGTTGAGACACCCTTTTACTACAGGTAGAACGTAGATTTATATTTAATTAGATACAGTGTACACGTGTTTAAAATGCAAGTTTCACATAAAGACCTTGTTAACTGCTTATATTGGAGAAATGCCAAATGATACAAATGTGTTCACATCTAAATTTTATAATTTTCAATTTTAGCTTTAGTCTGGAGAGCCATGGAAGATAAGGAAGCTCTAAAAAAGCGTCTTACTCCGCTTCAGTACCATGTCACTCAAGAAGCTGGAACAGAAAGGCCTTTTACTGGTAAAGATAATTTAGTAATTATGATGAATTCCAATACATTTTAATTAAAAAAATCAAGGTAAAATCTTAAAGTACATATTGGATTTGCAGCAAATACTTTAGTTACCGTTAAAATAAATCATTTTAGGTTGTTTCAACAAGTTTTATGAGGAAGGGATGTATGTCTGTGTAGTTTGCAGACAGGAGCTGTTTAGTTCAAAGACAAAATATGACTCTGGTTGTGGCTGGCCTGCATTTAATGATGTACTTGCAAAGGAAAAAGTCACATTACATCAGGACACTAGTGCAGGTATATTATTCTTACAACTGTCTTTACACAGTGTATAAACAAATTAACAACCTAAGATATGCTATCAAATTATTAACGGCAAAGCATATGTAAAGCACAGAGCTTTAATTTTTTCATTGGCTCAGTAGTTGGTTGAATTGTATTCAAAAATTTTAATAAAAATTCACAGTTCTTATAAAAGTTGTTATGTAATTTACATCTCATTTTGTAACAAAAAGTAAATGTAATTTATTTTTATTACGAAATGAGATGATTCGGAAACAATTATAAAAAAATTCATTCATGTTTTAGTTTACATTACCACACATTTTACAAATCATAAAATTTATGTACTAAAAACCCTTAGGAACCACTATTTTGATTAATAATATGTATTATTCAATCAAAATAGGATGGAACTATTCTGAGATTATTATTATCTTTACATATGGTTTGCTATCACACGACCCTAGACTTTAAAGTCAATAGATTATTCTAACCCATTATTAAAAACTACTTAAATAATTGGAACTATTCTGAGATTATTATTATCTTTAGATATGGTTTGTTATAACATGAGCCTAGACTTTAAAGTAAAACAAAACATTAGATATTTGATTTTGATGTGGTTGCCAGTTTGTGATATGTAGTAGTGTGAACTAATCAATTGCTACTTCCTTTTTCATTAAATGCAATGAAGCGGAATCGATTTCAATGTCATTGTGTAGATAGATTCTATACAATGCAGTATTCAATCAATGAAATAATAGATATTGATGTCTAGTACTTACAACCTATTCCAACCAATGTGTCTAACTCATAATGAGTAATGTATATTCTTATTTTGTTAAATTTGTGTTGCATGGTTTACAAGCTTTTCATCCAGCTTTTACATATAAATCATTTCTCTCTGCTTTAGCAAATTGAGTTTTATAGAGATAAAAATAAAAGTTGTGAAAAAAGTAATACACTATAGTATTTTTTGTTGTTTCAAATAATATTGTTGATAAATTTTAAATGGCACATTTTACAAAGTTGTAATGTTTTTTTTTTTAAATATATATTCATATATATTTTTCATAAGTTAATTTTATGAAATAATACCATTCCTGTTAACCACTCCAGATAAGCTCAAAATTTTCTGTTAAAAGTGGTTTTTTTGAACCCACAATTCTCTGCAACACACCTTATCTTATGTTACTGTAGTTTATTTTTTTTAAATACACTCTTAAAAAGAGCCTTTGCTTACTTACAACCCTACTTTATCATCATCATTTCATACTCATTGCTCAATATAATTTTTATTTCTGTTAGTTGATGCATGAGTTTTGTTGTATGTAAAATATGTTTAATTGTACATATATTAAAATAATTTATGTTCATGGTGTTCATTGTTACTCCTATTGTAGCAACTTTATATAACCAAACTTATCATGAAAACTGAGTACTATTTTATATCACTGTTTCAGCATAAACAAAGAAAAGAAAATGAATTTCCTAATTAATGTTTTATCCATGTATTCAATAGAAAAACTTATAGACATCTACATAAAAATCCTTGAAATTTAAAGTATGACGTTGTAGAGATACCCAAAATAAAATTTATTATAAACAGTTTACAAAACTTGCAAGTTTTTAAAAAAGTCTTACCAAAAGTTTTCTGTAGCTTTTTTCTAATTTTTTTCATCAGGAAGGCGTACAATTGATCTAATTTTGAAAAAAAAAGCAAGCATAAATCTCAATAGTTCATGTCTCTGTGACCAGTAATCAAAGTTTGAACAAAAACTAAGGACAAAATCATAACTTGAAAATATAATCGCACACCATTCATGGGGGTGATTTGGGTATAACAACTCTCTACCTCTGGACCACTGTTTGACACTACTCTTTGGGATAGCTTATATAATACAGAATTGTTGTGTCACAAGACAATCTGATGACTCAAATTGCTCAATTGGGATGATATTTAAAATTGCTTGCTGATTGTAACCTTAATAATGTTTCTTGTTGTTTAACTATGGAACCGTAATTAAGAGATGTTATTGAAGTTACACCATAATTTAGTTTTGGTTAAGCCTTGATTTAGGCATCGTCGGAAGAGGTTTTAATTGATCAATATACTTAGGACGATCGTCTAAAAAAAGGATTATTTTGAAATTATAAAATAAAAAGTGATGTCCTAAAGGCTAAAAATAGCAAGGGTGAAAAATAGCCAATGTGATGGGTTGGGTTTGAAATTAATTCACCTGAATTTGAGGATTCTGTCACTGTGGGATGGTCAAGGGGGTTTATCTGAAGCACCCCTATACGATTGTTGCTGCCAGAGCAACATCAGAGTGTTTTTAATTATTTTTTAAAAATGTTAGAAAACACTAACTAAATGTGATATGGTACATTTAACTAAATTAAATTCTAACGATTTTGACATTTCATCTGTGAAAATCATCTCAAAATGCGTAAACCGTAAAATGAATCACTAGGCCGGCCATTTTGTTGACAGTGACAACTATACTTTACGTCATTCCGTAACTTTCGAGTTTACGTGAATGTGCTCCCTAACGTTTTTATCTGCCTCCACCTGGTTTTTCGACGACTTCGCTACCCCTCTGGATCCTTTTTTTACAAATGATGGTAGCTATAAATTGTTTATAATTTAAAGTAATTATAAAAGTTAATAAATTGGTGATTTATTGAGTGTACGAGCGAGCGAAGCAAGCTCGGGACTTACGGCACGAAGGGATGGCGGGACCGAGTGAGCGAGCGAAACGAGCGAATAGACCTCGCCATCCCCTTCGTGGTTATTTTTTTATGAATCAATCAGAAGTAGGAGCCGCGAAGCGGGGCCTCTCGATCAGGCTTCCCTCGACTGCGCTACGTTGAATGGCGTGGGGCTTCCCCTCCCCCAAACTCTCTCCACCCATTAATCAGGTTTATTTTGTCAAAAACATTACGCAAACATAACCTCAAAATGAGATTTATAAAAAAACTAAGCACGTCCTGTGGGAAGGGGGGGAGAAGTGAGGGGTGACTCTACAGTTCCCCCGCCTCCCGCCGTCCTTCCCACCACTCCCCACCCCCAATTCATGCGACTTAATTTCAAATCTCACCCGGATTTTCTTTGAGATAAATATTGATATAAGTAAGTTAAAATGGAAGCATGCATGCCTTTATAATAATACAAATCAGTTTTCGAAAACTAGTGTTTCTCAGTTAAATAAGTAAAATCTTTGCGTGCAATAAGATTAATCTTCTTGTAAAAATGGTTTCATATATACCAAAGCAAATAATTTGCAGACTTGCACATAATTTGTTAAAATTGCAAGTGTTAAGTATCCTATTGTGATTATTATAGTTTTTAATATCTCAATCAGTTTTATTTTTTGATTTGGCTCTTTCTTACTTTCCATTATAATTAAGATTCCTTTTATTTATTGCACACAATTTTGATTACTTACAGTTAAAGTAATTGAAGTTTCTTTTATATTTATGTCCATTATCTTTTGAAAACGTTTTACATTTATTAAATTATTTATTAATTTCAGACATACAATTTCATTAAATATAATACATTTTTATTTATTTAATAAAAAGGTTTGCATTATTTTAAACCCAGACTGATAAAGTTAATAAATTATTAGAGTGACAAGTATATTATTTATTTTATTAAGTTTTCTATATTTCTATATATGGTGAAGGGAATTTGGAATTGGTGCTAATGTATTTTTATCTTTTTTGTCTGTCTTTCCCGTGTCCTTGACAAACCTGAATACAATCCTGCCCACCACAATAAACGTAAGTCGGCAATTGATTGGTAACAATAATAATATTTATACATAATTGAATTTGCTTTTTTTATCGACTACTACGGATATACATGTATAATACAATATTTAACTCTCACAACGTATTTTTCTTATAAAAATTTACATCGCTTATTATTTTATTTCGGTTCGTTTCATTCACGAAACTCATACCTAATACTATTTACGCCATTTTATGACATAACATCCATATATTGCAATTTATTATCTTTCGCTTATTTATTTTGGCACTGCGAAACCATAATCACTTTAACAAATCTGGAATGAGCATGACATTAATTTGCAATTATCCTCGCTCCTCTATTTGCCCTTCCTCGTCCTGTCCTGTTCTGCTCCTTCTGGATGGCTGCCGGTTCGGACGGATGACTGCTGCCGCTGCGACTGCAATCAATATCTACTACACCTCACAACACGAACAATGCAACATCATATGGGATCTTATCATCGTACATCACTCTTGTTAATGTGATGTGTAAATAAATGGCTTTTTGGTGAATGGACTTGTTTGTGTTAAATCAAAGTTGGAGCGAATATATTACTGGTTTTAACACGGCCAGGTTTGGTGCGAACTGAGGTGCGATGCTCCAAGTGCTCCGCTCATCTGGGACACGTATTCAATGATGGGCCGGCGCCCACCAAGAAACGCTTTTGTATTAATTCCGCGTCATTGGACTTCATACCGGCTGAAGAAAGGAAAGATTAAGTGTTGTCTTAAACAGTGAAATATATCAGATTTTAAAGGCCTAGGAATTTTTGTGGCTGTACTTTACATTGACGTTTAGGCATAGTTTAGTTTACGACGGGCTGTTTTCCGAAACTTCACGTCTAAGCGCATATTTTGCCTGTGGTAAAGAACGTATAGGAACGCATACGCTAGCTCTGTTTAGCCAGTAACGCAGTCAAGAATTTGCATTTAGGAAGACCAAAATTAAGGTTTTTTTGGTGAAAATTAGGTGCCTAGTATAAAAATTAGGTGCTCAAAGTTTTGAACGCAACAGTTTTTGAGCAAAAAATGCCGTTCATATCTTTGTAAGGTAATGATTCCTGGACCCGATAATTCCCAGAATATTACTGTCATCTACATCCGACGTCAATAATCTTTCAGCACTTAGGTAATTACTGGCTATTTATATTTATCATATATCTATTTCTAAAGATTAATTTCATTAAAGATATTTTTAAAGATTATTGACGTCGGATGTAGATGACAGTAATATTCTGGGAATTATCGGGTCCAGGAATCATTAGCTTACATAAGGTATGAACGGCATTTTTTGCTCTTTATCAGTTGTAAATTATAGATAAGATAGCCGCAGTCGACTAACACACATTCAACATGACTCGACATCATCAAGCGACCTTTCAACACTTTGCTATGGCCCTTGAGTTTGGGGGAAAATGAGAAAAGAAGAAATAATAACATTCAAAATAATAATCTAATACTTTTATACTTATTTGGTACTGGTACAACCAGAAAATACTGTCGGTATACTGACCTTTTTAAAGTGGTGTGTTTCGCATGTCTAATAAAACAGTCGTCTGTGAAATGTTTAGAACAAAGATGATCATTTTGTTTCGGACGCCATTCACAATATTTATGCTTTTAAGCCATAATTTTAGTTTAGGTTCAGTTGGAAATCTTTTAATTTCTAAACATTTGATAATTATATATTGTCGGCGACTTTGGTTGTTAACAGCCTAATTAATTTTATTGTTTATCAAAACTCAGTAACATAAAGCCAAACATGTTGGTAATTATTATATTAAGATTAGTAACAAATTTTGAAGTACATATAATATCAAATTATTTTAATTTGTTTAATATTAGCTGCAAATTCACTTTCTTGTGGAATGTTATACCACTTTCCTTTTGGTAACGAGTTTTACAGATTACGCACACTCATTATTATTAAAAATAATTCTTATTATGGAACTAAAATTACACACAATCAAACCACATAAAATACTTTCGTTTTTTGGTTTAAAAGTTCAAAATACAAAGATAAGATTTAAGTAGGACAGACTGGCATATTAAGTCAGTTTTAGTTCCCAGGACTGCCAATGGTGGCGCTTTCAAATTGGCACAGACATTTTGTATGGTATAGCCAGTCCTGCGTACTTGTATGTATAGAGGTCAGTGGCCCTCACCTTAGAGTGTTTTTGTAAAGGCGTTGCAGAAGTAACTGTCAATATTCTTGTATGAGTTGTGTTTTTGAAAGCACTTAATTAGCACTTTATTATCAAATTAATTCTACACCTGATTTTGATTCTATTTTGATTTTCTGAAGACCTGATTTTTTCATCTGGTTTGCTCTTAATAACGACTTTATTTTTATTAGGAGCGCCTTGCCTATACTTGCAACACTTAATTAGCACTTATTTACTTGCTATTAATATTTATCGTATAATCTATTATCGTCACTGCGTTGCTAGCGATACGTTATTGTATCGCTAGCAATTAATAACAATTAATAACTAAAAATTAATAGCAATTAATAACTAATAGCAACGAAATTTGCGTTGCTGGCTTTAATTTTAACAGTTTGTTCTGGTGAAAAATTTACAGCACCTAATTTTTAAAATTGGCACCTATATTTAGCCCCGAAAAAGCCCCTAACTTTGGTTTTTTCTAAATACAAATTCCTGACTGCGTTGCTGGGGAGACAAATGCTTAAGCTGCTCTGGCCCCGAAAAGTGCTAGGTCCAATTTTAAAGTGATACCAACACATTTTTAGAAGCCATAATAAATAAATAATTATAGTTAATGTTATGAATTCTATTTTATTACATAAAAATGTATTTTTGAACATAAATTAAGTAGTTAGATAAAATTATTTTTCAACTAATATAATGGGTAAAAGTCGTCTCGACTTTATTATTTTAAGAGTATCATTATATATGTGATTACAAATATCGTACCATCGATTTAGAAAAATTTTTTACTAGAGGGAACTAAATATTATACACACCAAAATAATTATTAATTTTCACTACCCTTTACCACTTAATAATCTACTATGACTATCCAAAATTGATAATAATCGACTTACATAAATCAGATTCAACGTAAAATAAAAAAGATGTTTAAGCGATAACAATTTTAAACAAGCTAATTAACTTGGTACTTACTATGATGCGTTATGGTATATGCTTATTCTTTTATAATTGATTAATATTTCTATTTTCATTTTTGCGATTTGGATTGATTTGAATAATTTAATTATTAATAAATTGAATATCTTTTTGCAATATCATACCTATAATTATATAATTTATATTGTAAACTAATAGATTAATTGGGATTGGGTTGTTTTTCAATTTAAAATATTATTTATCTCAACATTTAGTTACCAAATTAAGTCATTATTTTAATTAAGTAACAGAATTTTACCGATACGATGTATAAAACATTGTAATTGTTGAATATTTTACATTTATTTATTTTTTACGTTTGATGTACTTACACGTTAATGCTTTCCGATTGTTACAGTGAAATTTGTGTAATAAATATTTTATGTAAAACTGTTTTTTTATTTATTAATTGAGACAAGATGTATAATATATAATAACAGATAATCAAGGAGTAGAATAACCAGAGGTGGGAATCACATAGTAGTTTTACTTAGATACTGAAGGTTGCGACCATAGCAACCCCTAATACTGCAATGTGCTGAACATAAGGAGTAGGAAACCTTCCTCACAAAATTTCCCAAATGCTTATGAAACCGAATCAGAGTATATTACTGCATAAGTCGTCTGAATCCAACACCTTTCACGAAATTAAAGGGAAGATCTTATAAAGCAATTTTTATAGTGCAGTGGGGTTCACCGCGCGACAAGTTTAAACTTATTCGTATGCGCTGATAGCGGCCGCCACCGCCGCTGTGCATGAACCTCCGATACAACTTCCGATTAAAATTTATCGGAATCGAAGATGCAAAATCATTCAGAAGTTCCGAACTTTCGGAATCTGAATCGAACCTCCATAACATCTCTAATAAGTAGTATAGTTGTACCACGAATTCACTTCTTCTGGGCTAAGTACGTAGTTTCCCAGACAAAACGCTCGTATTACGTTTATACAACGAAGTTCCAGAAAATATACAAGGTTTCTCTGTTACAATTTTTTTTTATTAAACGCAGTCTATAAAAATGGTTATTACGATAATTTTATTTATATATGTGTAAAAAAAGGAAATTGAAGCCGAATAACCTGACTATCTGGTCCATATAATTGTTCAATCGAAAAAAAAATTCCGAGCCCGTGTAACAAGAAGAAGAAGAGTAAAAATTTGATTGCGTTTAAACCGTGGCTCCAATAATTTTTTTGTTGTTGTTTTTGTTTCGTTTTAAAGATTGGGAGTGTATCGACGAGTGTTGCGTACCTTATACTCGGAATCACCAAACGGTATTCGCTGAAGGTCATACAGGCTTACGCGCCAACGTCGGAACATCCCGATGAGGAGGTGGAGGAAATGTATGAGGATATTTCTAGAGCCATGCATTAATCTAAAACTCACTATACGGTATTAATGGGAGACTTCAACGCAAAACTGGGCATAAGAAAGAACGGTACGCTGAAGGTAAGTAAATTTGGTATAGGGCAACGGAACCCAAGGGGCCAGCAGCTGGCCGACTTCATGGAAAAAGAGGGACTTTTTATGATGAACTCTTTCTTCGGCGGCCCCATAGAAAGTGGACCTGGTCGAGCCCCGACGATTCGACAAAAATGGGATTGACTTCATTATGACGAACAGACGCCAACTGTTCAGTGATGTCTCAGTGATCGCAAGGGTGAAAACTGGCAGCGATCACCGAATGGTTAGAGGCACACTGAACCTAAACGTTAAGTTTGAGAGGTCTCGTCTAATGAAGTCAACGCTCCGTCCCCCTTGTGCTCTAATCCAGAATCTCGAAACCTTTCCGCTCGAGTTACGTAACCGCCTTCAGTGCCTAGAAGATTGCAATGCAGTGGACGATATGAATGACAAGTTCGTGGAAACTGTCTATGTGGTCGAAGCTAAGTTCCGCAAGACCCGCCGCAGAAGAACACAAAAGCTCTCCGATCACACTCTTAATCTCGTGGTTGTTAGACGGGAGATGAGGCTGCAATCGTCAACAGATTTGCCAGCATACAGGCAACTGAACAGACAGATCTCCAAATGCATGCCGCAAAACTTACGCAACTTTAATACTGCTCGTATTGAAGAAGCGATCGAGCGGAACCAGGGCTCCAAAGTCTTTGCCAGAGATCTGTCTGCCAGAAAGAGCCAACTGTCAAAACTGAAAACTGAGTGTGGCAGCATCATTTCCGGGACACCTGAGATTTTGAGTGAGATTGAGAGGTTCTATGGGCAGCTGTACACATCATCGTTCGAGCCACACGCAAGTGTGAGTAACGATCCAAGAGCAAGTCTTATCCGACACTATTCCGATGATATCCCGGACGTCAGTCTGAGCGAGGTTAGAATGGCTCTCCAGGACCTTAAAAACGGCAGAGCCCCAGGCGAGGATGGAATTACAGCGAAGATTCTGAAAGCGGGTGGAACACCGGTACTTGAAGTCCTTCAGAAGCTCTTCAATTCCGTCCTCCATAGTAGCACTACTCCGGAGGCGTGGAGCAGAAGTGGGGTGGTCTTGTTCTTTAAGAAAGGCGACAACGCTCTCTTGAAGAACTACAGACCGATTTCCCTTCTGAGCCGC